AAAAAAAAAAAAAGAATCGTATCATCCACAAATAAGGATAATTTAACTTTTTCCTTTCCCATTTGAATCTCTTTTTTTCTTGCCTTATTCATCAGGATGAGAATTCAAGCATTACATTTAATAGGAGTGGACAGAGTGACATACTTGTTTCATTTCTGACTTAGAGGAAATGGCTAAAAACTTCTTCATGTAATTCAGTTTGGGCTACAGATTTATTGTATATAGCTTTTGTTATGTTAATATATGTTCTTTCTATATCTAGTTCCTTCAGAGATACATGAAAAGATATTGGATTTCACCAAAGGCTTTTCCTCATTTATTAAGATGATCTTGTATATAAGTGTAACTGCTGAATTGGTTCACCCTTTGTCTCATTGTTTCTGTGCAGGGAGGGAGGGAGGGGTCTGTGAGACTCTTATCTCCAATTACCACATGGCTCAATGTACCCTGTATAGTTAAATGATATTTTTAAAAGCCACACTATGGCTAGGTGCTGGTGGTGCATGCCTGTAATCTTAGCTACTCAGAAGGCTGGGATCTGAGGATAACAGATTGAAGGCAGCTGGAGCAGGGAAATCTGTTAGACTCTTCTGTCCAATTAACTACCAGAAGTAGAGCTGTGGCTCAAGTGGTAGAGTGCTACCCTTGAGCATAAAAAGCTCAGGGACAGTGCCCAGGCCCTGAGTTCAAGCCTCAGAACTAGCACACGCACAAAGGAAGTCACACTATGGTATGGTTTTAGATGCAATCTGTAATTTTATTATAAAACCATTCTTTTGGCATTAGTTGGTTACAGTGATAGCAAGATACTGTGAGTGTGGCATAGCAGCTCTAATGTAACAGTTACATTCCCTGCTTACTGAACCAAAATTTAAGTTACTTAAACCTATTACATACATTACCGGTACCTATCACTGATACAAATCTTTACTTGTATACCTTTTAGGAAAGTGTTGATTTGTACTATCTAATCTACATTCAGATTAAATGTTGATAAGACTACAAAAGTACTAGTTCCCTTATGAGACCTTTTCCTTCCCCTTTCCTGCTCGATACTTAGCTTTAAATGAATCAAATTTCCTAGAGCTAGTCTGAATAGCAGCACCTAAGGAACATTACACTTAGTTCTTGTTAAAAAGCAATACCTGTGCAATGCATGTTTTACAGCATGATCACCCTAGTTTTAAACTCCTGCTGTAGAGTCCCTTAAATAAATAAAAGCATCCCATCAAATTGTGGGTCATGTTACTGTTGTACATTTGAGGGTAAGTCACTTTCTCTACTGTGTTTGCTTTGAAGAGATCTTCCAATATATCTCCAATATTCCTTTCTTATAGTGTCCTTTTCTTTAGCTAGGACTTCACATAACTGAAATGAAAAATAAAAATTTGTTAAAGTAAATATATAATTCAAACTCAAGGCACATACCTTTGAAACACAAGTGAACTCAGATCATTTAAATGAGACACACATTGCAGCGTAACAGTACCAATACAGCTCTTTTTCTAAACCAGAAATACCCATGCTGAGTAACCAGGATGAAAAGTAGCAATGAGCAGAACCAAATGTGAAGTGCCAAAACAGCAAAGTACTAAGTCCCATCAACTCACCTCTAATGCTTTATTAAGAATGTCCTCCTTGTTATCACATTGGTTTTCTAGCATGTCTTCATAGATATCCACAAGAAAGGCAATTAGGTATGGAGAGCTGTGACTTGGTTGCAAATCAAGGAGTTGATTTAACAGATTAGGGTATCTGGAAAGACCATGATCCTGCAGAATTCTTAAATAAATAAATTATTAATTAGCTAACTGACTTAATTTTGAGAGGAAGTACAAAAACAGTGAAAGATCAAAAGACCTAAAACACAAGCAAACAAGATTATTTTTGTTTTGATGGTACTGGGTATTGAAATCAGGACTCAAGCAGGACTCCACCATTTAAGCCATGCAGAAATCCAGAAGACCATTATGTAAGCCTTATCAGGGATAATTAAAATTAATTTGAAAAAAAAACTGCTTAAAAATGATCATTTGTGGGCTGGGAAGGTGGCTCAGTGGTAGCATGCTTGCCTTGCATGCATGAGGCCCTGGGCTCGATTCCTCAGCACCACGTAAGCAAAAAGAAAAAAGCCGGAAGTGGCGCTGTGGCTCAAGTGGTAGAGCACTAGCCTTGAGCTGAAGAGCTGAGGGACAGTGCCCAGGCCCAGAGTTCAGGCCCACGACTGGACCCCCCCCAAAAAAATGATCATTTGTAATCCCAACTGTGTAACACAAATTTAGAGCAGAAAATAAATCTTTACAGAATTAAAAGCAAAGAAAAACAGAGCGCTATCCCTATTTCTTTTTGAGACAGTTCTTCATTCCTTCAACTCTCCAGGGATTGTAGGGCCCCAATCCCTGACACATCTACAAGTGTGACAGGGGTTCACACAGTGTTCTTTGGGTCTAGCTTCACTGGAGGGCCTCTTAAGTTCAACAAGTAACTTGACTAGGTAAGTGACCCAGCAAGCAAAACCTTTGTTTCAGGAATAAGACTTGAAACTGAAGATCTCTAGCAATGAAAGCAGAAAGGCTGAGGATCTATGCAATCTACTTGTAAACTGCATGTCCTATATATTCTATTCTAGAACATAAACACTAGAGGACTCACACTGACTTCTCAAAACAAAAAGAAACAACCACCACCAAAAAGAAAAACACTATTAGAGAATTCATAAATAAAACTTTAATTAAAAATGAAGTATTGTAACAAGGAACCAATGGTTCAGGCATGCAATCCTTGCTACTCAGGCAGCTGAAGATCTCAAGGATCATGGTTTGAAACCAAACCAGGTAAAAACATCTGTGAAACTCTGTCTCCAAAATAACCAACAAAAAGCTGGAGGCATGGCTTAGCATAGCTCAGGTAGTAGAATACCAAGCAAGCTGCAAAGCCCTGCATTCAAACTTAAGTATAGCCATTTTTTTGTTGCTGTTGTTGTTTTGTTTTTGTTAATTGTGGGGTTTGAACTCAGGGACTGGGCAATGTCTCTGAGCTTTCTGTTCAAGGCTAGTCCTCTGCTAGCCTTGAATATAAGAGTCTCATGGACTTTCCTCAGGCTAGCTTTGAACTGTAATACTCCTACTTCAGCCTCGTGACTAGTTGGGATTACAGCCATTAACCTGATGGCATTGTTGTTTATTCATATGCTGTTCTAAACATCTGTTAGTATTTGGAAGATGAAGAGAAGGGTAAAGGATATTCTAGTAAGTTACCATAACCCTATTATATATAAGATTATATATTATATTAGATCCAATATATGGAACATTCTTTAGTATCCTTCTAAAATCTGGCCATAGAACATATTCCACATCAGCAGGCTGCTTCTGTAAAACTGCTGAAACAATCTCTTACCCTTTCAAGTAGTTCCATGCACTTTCATTATGTGGCACAAGTTTGATCATTTCCAGAGTATACCTGAAGGAAAAAAAAAGTCCAAAAACAAATTTGTATATGGGTCGTGGGACCTGAACTCTGGGCCTGGGCACTGTCCTTCAGCTCTTCAGCTCAAGGCTAGCACTCTACCATTTGATCCACAGCACCATTTCTGGCTTTTTTATTTTGCTTATTTGGTGCTGAGAAATCAAACCCAAGGCCTCATGCATACAAGATAAGCACTCTATCACTGAGCCACCTTCCTAGCCCCTTGCATATGATTTTTAAAGAGCAGTGACAGGATTAGATGTTACATTTACAAGACTGAGGCACAATCCCTTTCCCCACACTAGGCTTTCTCAGTGATGGTGGCACAGCTCTAGCTCTTAACTAAATTAGAGAACCCATGGATCTGCATCTGTCAACCCATATTTATACAGTCCTAAACTTTTCATTTTCAGTATTTTAATGCTTTTTGCTTCTAACATAATTAAGGCATGGTAAATAACAAATATTCAAAGTTTGAAATCCAATATATATCTGTTGGATAAATTTTAAGTACAATAACCTGAAACATTTAAATATTTGAAAAGAAAGCCAACTCTAACAGAAACAGTGCTAGATGATGAAGTCTGAGTTTTGTCTATTTACATATCAGCACTTAGATTACAGATAATAAAATCTTCCTTGGAATGGTAATCCCATCTGTAATCCCAGAATTTGAGAGGCTGAGGTAGGAAAATTAGAAGATGAAGGCCTGCATGTCATTTAGAATTTGCATGTCTACTAGCTCTCAGATGCCATGTTATCCTAATATGTGGTCTTAGGCTGTGACTTTGCTGTGGGGAATGCCCCTTGCAGGATGTTTAACACTACTCTTGGCATTGCCAAAGGTCCTTTGGGGGAAAAAAATCACCCCAGTTGAAAGCCACTGTACAAAAAGCTGTTAGAAGAACTAGAAGTTCTTGAATTGGCATGAATTTCTATATTTAATTTGACTTTGAATTTTATTGCTATCATGTCCCTTGCTCTCATATCTACAACAAGCTCTACTGGATCTTGTGCCATATGTATGATTTCACTGAGAGGTAGACATGCAAATTCTAAATGAATGAACAAGAGAAGAACATTACTCACTGGACTTCTCTCTCCAATACAGTACGATCATTGTAGCCAGTAGTATTAGAAATGACAAAATATCTTTGGTTCCAGACAGAGTTATTTCTTACATCCTCTTTGAGAAGCTGGTCTACATACTGCAGCTCATTATCCCAAAGTCTAAATTCCTAAGAGAAAATCTGAATTAGAGAAATATCTCACTTTTTTAATAATAAAAGTAGACAAAATATTAGCAAAGCTAAGAATGGAGAATTGAAAAATGATAGTTGCAAGATCAAGGAAATAGAAAGGGATAAAACTGAGGCTCAGGGGGCTGGGAAGTTGGCTCAGTGGTAGAGCGCTTGCCTTGCATGACTGAGGCCCTGAGTTCGATTCCTCAGCACCACATAAGCAAAAAGAAAAAAGCCGGAAGTGGCGCTGTGGCTCAAGTGGTAGAGCACTAGCCTTGAGCTG